TTATTTTATTTTATTTTATTCCCAGTGTCTTATTTCCCGGTGTATTTCTAAAATGCTGTATATAGCATATTGTTACTAGCAGATTTAGAATTCCTACTGTTAGAATACTACATTCTATGGAGGAGGAAGTATTCGATAGTCCGAGGAATAGAATTAAAATTAATGGTTTAAAGGGAGTAAACAAACAAGGGATACCAGCCATTAGATACAGAGTGGGAAGTTTGTCATTGTTTCTGCATGTTTGTGGATTTTATTGTGCGTTTGCTGTTTAGTTATTTTAAATAATTGCCTAGTCGTATTTTAGTAGTAGTGGATATTATAGTTTTTGTTTATAGCAATACCACCACTATATAAAACAGCCTGAATTTTTCAGGCAATGAACAAAGATTAAGAAAACAAGAAAGCCAGGTATAAAACAGTCCTTGTAAGTCATAATTGCTCTGTACCTGTTCCGGTTCTCGATATTTACTATATCTGAAACAGTGCATAAGAAAAACATACATTACAAGTTGCTTTACATTTTTATACACATTTAGGAATATACAGTATATTCTGGCGTATAAGACTACTTTTTAACCCAAGAAAATCTTCTCAAAAATCAGGGGTCGTCTTATACGCGGATGTAGTCTTATGCATGGGAGTCGTCTTAATCTCTATATTTTAACTGGAAAAGTTGGGGGTCGTCTTATACACCCAGTCGTCTTATATGCCGGAATATACGGTATATAAGGTGCCCTGCTGAATAAAATATACTTAATTGAGAAAAGTTAATGAAAAGACCATTATGTCCTTTCAAAAAGGATACAAATAAACACCTTCTGGCTGTGATGGAATGAAGTCCGGAGACATCACATCTCCTTCTATTACTGAAAGAAAAAGCCGGCAAGTGCCATGAAAGCCCATTCTCCACATTTCTGTAGCCAGAATTTTTACAGCATATTTTGCTTTCCCTCCCAAAGAATAATCTCTCACAATCAGAATCTGATCAGACAATGTTTTGCTATCTTTCCCATATTTCTTTAAAAATTTCCTCCCATTTTAAAAAGCAGCTGCAAGAGATACAAATCTCCATCTCGCCAAAACACTACTGATTGATTATTTATATAAAACATTTAAGTGTTTTACAGAAGAAGCCAGATCTTACAACAAATGTCAACTTAGTACTTCCCAGACCTCAGCAAAGTCTGATAATGGTTGGAAGCAAAGAGGCAATGGATGAACTGCAAGCAAATGCTTCTTGATGTAAGGGCCCTTCCACACAGCCCTACATTCCAGAATTTCAAGGCAAAAAAATTCCACATTATCTGAGTATGGACTCAGATAACCCAGTTCAAAGCAGATATTGTGGGATTTTCTGCCTTGATATTCTGGGATATAGGGCTGTGTGGAAGGGCCCTGAGACATAATTGCATTTGGATGCTGCGACATCACTTCTAATGCAACAGACAAAACAGCACAGAGTAATCAGTTTCAATTCATCATACACTTGATTCATATATTTCTGTCTGTCCCCATCACATGAAAAGCACAAAGTACTATTATTTATAGGTCTTTGCTTGAGACATTTTCTTTGCATTTCTCAGCTCCTTTTTAGAAGCTGAGAAATATGTGTGCAGCATTTGTGCAAGGCATATTTAGATTACATGGAAGCTGATTTCTAAAACATTTCACCATCTCCTGCTTCCTTTTGCCTTTATGAACTTCTCCCTCATGCATGCAAGCACAGTAGTTTTCACCTATGGTGGTTTGCAGCTTACTTACCAACTTCCACAAACTCATTGTCTTCTAAGGCAATGTCCAAAGTATCGTCGTGATCCAATAATCCAAGACCTTTGCAGCGGCGAACATAGAATTTGACTTCTTCCACAGAATTAAAGCCTCCATTGTCGGGTTTATTTTTCATGTAACGTCTCACAGCTTCTTTTCCAAGCCATCGCACTGTGTTTGCACTATTTTGACAGGGCACTGCGAGCCATTCCCCTCGGACATGCACTGTGTACCTTGGCATAGCTCTCCTCTATCTACGGCAGTCCTTCCACTCTGAAGTATCAGTAGGTGAACACCTCCCTGATGGGCATTCAGTGCCACGTGCCACCTGACTACATCCCACTTTCCCAATCAGGAAAGGGCCAAGAGCTGCCCACTGTCCTTGAGATTCTCTCACTCTACAAACAAACATACATTTAAACACATCTCAAATCAAAACCCCAGAGACAAGACACACCCCTATTAATAAACAACAGGAACAAACCTGGCTGACCAGCAGCCACAGAGATTGCCATTTATTTATATTTTTGAAATTCGGTTGTCTACTAACTGAGGCATCATGAACAAACCATCTCTTGATGAAGTTATCACCTCCAAAATTCTTGGCACACTTTTGGAAAATCCAAATATTATCAGTGTTAAGTGGGATTATCCACATAATACTTTCCAGGAGAGAATGCATTGACCAACTAATTTTATAATTTTTAATTACTTTCATATTCTCCCATGTGTAAAGATTACATATGAGGGTTATCCGGAAAGTAAGGTTACAAGCCATGTAGCTCTTGTAGGGAATTTTCACAGGGAAAGTTGGTATCACTGCCATGTAACAGGAAGCCAGCAGAAGCAGTGCCATTCGTCAGTAGCTCATCGACTGGCGTTGTGATGAAGGTTAGAGGTGAGCGTCCTCATTCCGCTTCCCTTTTGTTTGTCTCCTTCATTACAATGCATGTCTGCATACCGCTCATGCAACGCAAGAATTGTTGACTTTATTTGGTTGGGATGTTTTAAGCTACTCCTCTCACAGCTCTGATCTCACACCCAGTGACTATCACCTGTTCACTAAATTGAAGGAACACCTGGGTGGAAAACACTTTTCCAATGACAACAAGGTGAAAATCGAAGTGACGCACTGGCTGAAAAAGGTGGCAGGAGACTTCTGTGACACAGGCATCAAAAAACTAATTGCACAGATGACAAAATGTATTGAACTGAATTGTGATTATGTGGAAAAAAATGTAATACCTGTGCTATAATCCATGTGTTTTATTAAAATATATTCATTTTTTGTATTTTTTAAAAAAATATTGTAATCCAACTTCCTAGATATTCCTTACTTGCAAAGCATTCCTCGTACTTGCAAAGCAATTGACAATATTCATGTGGATAGTATTCTGAGAAGGTTCTGGTTTCACCACAAAGACCATACTCATTTTGTGAAATTATTAGCTTTCTTTTTTAAAAAAAAGATATTCACATAAAAAAGACCTCACTATCTCTGAGGATGCTTGCCATAGATGCAGGCGAAACGTCAGGAGAGAATGCCTCTAGAACATGGCCATATAGCCCGAAAAACCTACAACAACCCAGTGATTTCGGCCATGAAAGCCTTCGACAATTCAAAGATATTCACATGGTTTTTCTTTGTTTTGTAGAAAAGCTTCTGTCTATTTCTTACTCTATTTTTTAAAATACTGTGTAGTACTTTGATGGCTATGGAGGACAGAAAAATAGCTTGTAGATGCTCTTAAACCAGCAGTGTCCAATATTTGATTCTCCATATGTTTGGGACTTCAGCATCTAAAATTCCTGACCATTGGACAAACTGGCCAGGGCTACTGGGAGTTGGAGTCAATTTAGATTAAATCAGATGTATGTTGCAGTAATGACATCAAATTGGGACAGGGATTTTGTGCAGCGCTGCAAGGGTATAGCTCCCATGCAATGGCCTGTAACCAGAGTGCAATGACAAGATAAATGACAGAAATTACGTTAATGTATTATTTCCATGACATAGAGCAAAATGAGCTACCGAAAACCAGTGTTAGTATTGTGTCAATAATTACATCATAGCCTTTGGACTTCAACCTGAACGAGAATAATTTGCACATGACAGGCCACCTCAACTGCATCTCTCTGTTTGGGCCTCCAACTCCTAGAATTCCAGACCACTGAACAAGCTGGCTAGGGCTTCTGGGAGTTGGAGGCGAAAACAACTAGAGGGCTACAGAGTTTGAGGATACCTGATCTATGGTATGGTGGTTGTTTTGGTGAACCCTGGAGAAATCCCTTGTAAGGATCTTTGCTTCTAAGCCACATTTTTGTGCCATGACTGCAATGGAAAATGCCAGTAACAGATTTTTATGTATAGACACCAGCTTTAATTTGTCACATGCAATTTGATGGTTTTAGAGATGCACTAGAAAAAGACATTTATAGATTGTATAAATGTTGGTCCTTATACCTTCCATCCAGGAATTTCTGAATGCTTTTTCTCATACAGAAGACGTTAGAGAAATGCTGTAATTCTCTCCAATAGAGTGAGAAGACTTACGTATTAATATACAGACTACTGACACTACTGTCTAATCCCATATGGGCCTCATCACACTAGAGAAAAATCCACTTAAAATCTGGTTTCTGCCTCCTGCAGAATTCTGGGGTTTGTAATTTAGGGAGAAGCCTTTAACAGCCTCAGTAAACTACAAACCCCAGAATTCTGCAGGAATCTCTAGTGTGATGAAGTGGTATATATTTTATACACACACATTCACAAGAGCGATTTGAGAAAACACAAGTCACTTCTGGTGTGAGAGAATTAGCCATCTACATGGACATTGCCCAGAGGATGCCCATATATTTTGATATTTTACCATCCTTGTGGGAGGCTTCTCTCATGTCCCCACATGGAGAGCTGGAGATGAGAGAGGGAGCTCAACCTGCTCACCCAGGATTTGAACCGCTGACCTATTGGTCAGCAGTCCTGCCAGCACAAGGGTTTAACCCATTGCACCACCAGGGGCATTATATATGATAATTATAATAAATAATAAATATTAATATGTGTATTTATTATAACAAATATTTTATTTATTATTTAAATTTGTAATATTTTTTGTATATCCATCACCAAGTATATCCACTTTTAAAAAATGACACAAGTAGAACAAATAATTAACTATTTATACTGTTCTGTTCACCAGAATCCACTGAATAATAGAAAGGCAAGACAATTGTCATAAAAAAGTTTATTTTTTTCAAATAAAGCAGCACAGGTAGAAAAACAGTACCAATCCCAACTCTGGTAGAGTGGCAAGTAATGTAGTAAAATATATTTCAAGACATATTTTTTTCAGTCTGAAAATCTTTTTAAAAGCCTTATTATTTCAAGTTCAAGACAGAAATATCGGTTAGTAATCAAACATGCAAGTTACCATGATTATGAATGTTGCTGATATTATTATTATGACAGATGAGGAAAAGAAACACGTGAAGCTGTTCTCTTTGGAAGAGTTTAGGTTGTTTGTCCATCTAGCCCCAGGTCTTTGGCCACCAACATCGCAGTCACAGGATGCATGGATGCTTTGTATTGCTGGAAAGCACTAACAGCTTGATCACGAGATTTTTCAAATTTAAAGAGATCCCTGCAAAAAAAATTACTTGGAAGTTAAACAAAAGTGCCGGCAAGTTTGAAAGTTTCCATTCTGTTCATTCTATTTACATTTGCCTTTTGTTATTGTAAGTGTAATGAGTATTACCATTGAAAAAAATGAAAATACTTTTAAGGTATCCAGTTTATTTTGCTAGGATGATGATGATGACCCCTTTTTTCTCTAAAAAGAGACTTAAAGTGGCTTACCCTTTAGAACCTAAAAATTCATGAAAATCATAATAGAATTAAATATTAATAGCACATATACATATCTATACATATAATAAAAGTGAAAATAAGTATATATGTGTGTGGCTGGGATGCCCACTTACCCAGACAAGCTCTTGCCTCCGCAAACATCTATAAATCTCACTACTCAGGAGACACCAAAGGCCCTCCCTCCAGTGACATTGCAGGTTATATCGAGCACCATGAACATGCCCAAGAGCCCTGCCAATGTCCTCCAAAAGCACAATATTGCCCCCTATCCAAGCAAAGGCTTCCATATGGAGACAATTTCATCATAGATTTTATGTGTTTCCTCCACCACAGACATCCCAGTGTTTTTTCTCTCTCCACTGGTGTGGAATTTGCATGATCCTACATACTGCTTCTCTTTTAAACCTTTTCTATGATGCACAATAAACAGAGAGGAATTGATCAATAACTGAACATACTGGAGAAGTTTGGGGGACTGAGTTAACATGATGGAAGTTGTAGTTCACCCTGCATCAAGGCAGAGCACTGTGATCCCCACCAACAATGGAACCTGGACCACATTTGGCACACAGAACCCCCATGACCAACGCAAAAAAACTGAAGAGGTTTGGGAGGAATTCATGTTGATTTATAGGAGTTGTAGGTACTGAGATTTATGGTTCACCTGCAATGAAAGAGCACTATGAATCCCACCAACTAACTTAGAACATAGAACCTTCACAATCAAAACCCGTAAAACCAATTAAGAACCTGTTCATAGCTAAAACCACAGCACCCTCTGACTTGGTCTTAAAAACCTCCTTCTTAAAAACCTGGGATGCTAGCTTGGAAAAGTTAGCATAATGTTTTTCTGCTAGATTCAAGCATGTCCACAAAATATACTCAAAAGAAACAAGACTTATTCAGTGATACTGGTCTTACTTAAACAATGGACGAGTAAACTTCATTCTGCCTTGTTCTGTAGCCATCTTAAGAGCAAGAGGAATGGCATCTTCCCATTTGGCTTGAATGCAAAGGCGAAGCCATCTGTAAACCAGAGTCAGAAGTTATCTATATGACGTTCACACAACCGAAGATCAAAAGAATCACAGATTCTGAAACATTAAATTTCTCAACTATGCTAATTAAGCACATATAGTGATAAATAGCTTGCTTATTTGATCTTGTCTCAATTTACACAAATCTCTATGAATACACTGTTTAGGATTTCCAAACAAATCCTGCTGCACTCCCTACTGACAAAGACACACTGAGGTCTCATTCTGGCACTGTTTTCTTAATGATTGTTTATAACCAGGATGAGTGAGAGCATGTAATTCCCTCTCTTCATCCTCTTTTCCTTAAAACCAGTTTCCTGCTAGCTATAAAATTGGAAAAAAGTTTACTGTTTGTTTACTAATCCAAATCTTTAAACTGTAACTTCTAAGGATCAGTGACAAAATCCCATTTTGTCAAACACAAGAGACAGAGAGGGAGTCTCCGCATCAGCTACTTTTGGTCTCCGTACGGAGAGAAAAAGTGGGATGTAAATAAACATAATAGATAGATAGATAGATAGATAGATAGATAGATAGATAGATAGATAGATAGATAGATAGATAGGCCCGGCTTCTCAATCCAAAAAATGTCCACAATGGCTCCAGGAATCAAACAATTGTCTGTATATAACTAAAATAACAAAACTACTGCCGATTAATCAGAAATATTTGTCCAAATATTATACAGCAATGATTCCCCCCCCCCCCCCCCCCCCCCCCGGGGCCTATTTATGAAAGCATAAAGCTAACAATGTTTACATTCGTTTAGTAACTGCAGGGATAAAAATGGACACACATCCTTAAATGTTTTACCGTTGCTTACTCCTATGTACTTCTCTTTTCATTCCTAGTTCCTACAATGTATGCAATATTATATGCATGTAAGGCCCCTTCCACACAGCTGAATAAAATCCCACATTATCTGCTTTGGACTGGAATATATGGCAGTATGGACTCGGATAACCCAGTTCAAAGCCGATATTGTGGGACTTTCTGCCTAGATATTCTGGATTATATGGCTGTGTGGAAGGGCTCTCGGTTATGCATATAACCTGCATAATTTTGTTAATACAAAACACCCCTGTAAACCATAACTCTGTTCGTTTAGCAACCATTTCATAAGGATGGCCTAAATTTAGTTATTGCAAGCTAGAGCAGGCCAACTGAATCAATAGGAGTTGCCTACATGCTGGCTCACCATTCAGCAATTCATTGAATAGGTCTGCTCTAGTTGTAGCTGATCAACAGGGCCCCTAACTTATATTTCTGTAAGTTACACACCTGAATCTAATTTCAGAATTGTTCACAGCATTAAAGTCATAAACATCTTGCATTCGTCGTACGTGGCTGACTGGAAGAGGATTCTAAAAGAGGAAAAAGTACAATCAAGACAATGGATTTTCAGTCCTAAGTGGCAATAGCAATCTTAAGCTCCATATGGGGAGCAAAAAATATAACTGCATTTACAGTGCTAGGCTTTTGAAATTATGTGAATGTGAATTCTGAAGGCAGTTAAAAGACATTTGAACTTTGTTATCAGAATGATCTGAACAGTAGTGCAAAATAAAGCGTCAGGTTACAATGCTGTATATAAACAAATTTACCTTTAAACCCTACACTTTGTTTCTAAAATGGTTAGATCTGTCACCCAATAAATAAAATATTACAATGACTGGCAACTATCTAGCTTTCCTGGCCTAGCTTTTTGTTCTGTAAGAGAAGAAGGCAACAAATCTCAGCTCTCTGAGCTTAATCTGGCTGCCAAAAGGCCTGYTAGAAGATCTGACATTATTTGCAATCTCAGATTGGAAACAATGGCAGRACTATCTATGTCAGGCATGGGCAAACTTCGGCCCTCCAGGTGTTTTGGACTCCAACTCCCACAATTCCTAACAGCCAAGAGGCTGTTAGGAATTGTGGGAATTGAAGTCCAAAACACCTGGAGGGCCGAAGTTTGCCCATGCCTGATCTATGTAACGCAGAGGTGTCAAACTCATTTTCACTGAAGGCGACATCAGTCTTATGGTTGKTTGCCTTTAGAAGGCCGTTTGCCATTGTGAGGCTGCATAAATGTAACTATGTTGCCCTGACATTGAAAGCCRGTGACTCTCTCTGTACAAAAAGGAAACGGGGGAGGTTGTGCAGAACACAATATTTGTATAATACAAAAGGAAGGGAATAATTTTGGAGGAGTGATTTATAACATCATCTGGCCCAACAGTTGAATCCCAGGGGAAATTCACCCATGCTAATACACCTTCTCTAGAAGAGGCACAAGAACAAACATATTTGTGTTCCAAACTTACTGCCTGCACTTACCTCCAACAGAAGCAATGCAAGGAATTCAATGAGCTGGTGGGAAGATAACTCTTTTATATCAGTTGAATTAAAGCAGGACAGATCACTCTCTGTGGCCTAAAAATAAGCAGAATTCAAAGTGATTTGGAAGCAGGCCTTTCAGAAATCCTAGGCAAAGAAGGACAAGGCAGAATGTGCTTCTAAATGCCAGAAGCTGGATTGAAATCTCATCCATAAAATCTATCTGCATTAAGTCAGAAGAAAATTTAAGACTTTGATTGTGCTTTCTATTTAAAGTGAAGCAAAGTATCAACATCTAAAGATGAACTTCCTACTTTTTATAAAACATAGGCCCTCTAGATACTGCCAGAGTGGATCTTTCACCAGCCCTGATCAGCAAATCATTATGGGAGCTACAGTTTACTAACATCAGAGGACCACAATTGCCTATAAACTAATGTATTAGGCAACCAGCTGTCACTCCCTCCCATTTCAACTTCATTATCACCTCATGGTTAAGTACATTTCCAAAATTGGACTTTCTCCCTGGATGGGATCCAAGATTATTAAGATAAGTTTAGGAGACATCACTGAATTTAGCATTCATTCTTCACTTGATGTGTGATTAATCAGTTCAGTGTATTTATCAGACATCGACTTACGTTGATCCATCTTTGGCTCAAAGCAATGCAAGCATCTGACAATGTTGTATCATACCTGAGGAAGATTTAAAAAGATATGATTTGTTTACAGTTTGTGAAAATTTTCGTACTTAGTCAGAAGCATTTTGCACCTTACATTTAAATTCTGTCCTCCTTCGAACTCCCCAAAGAGCACATCTGGTGTAGGAGAAGTATTAGTGCCTTCTGCAGAACTGTTACCAGACTGATTATAAAAAGATAAAGGTTTCCCCTTGACATTTAAGTCTAGTCGTGTCCGACTCTGGGGAGTTCTGCTCATCTCCATTTCTAAGCCAAAGAGCCAGCGTTTTCCATAAACGCTTCCAAGGTAATGTGGCCAGCGCCATTAACTTCCCACTGAAGTGGCACCTATTCATCTAGTCACATTTGCATGTTTTCGAACTGCTAGGTTGGCAGAAGCTGGGCCTAACAGTGGGAGCTAACCCCACTCCCTAGATTTGAACCACCAAACTTTCAGTCAGCAAGTTTAGCAGCTTAGTGGTTTAACCCGCTGCACCACCAGGGGCTCCAGACTGATTAAAGTGAAGTCGATAAACTGCACCCATTAAAATAAGTAAGTATAAAAGGACTTTTTGAAGGTGCACAGATTTATAAATTACATATCCCCTATTTTTTGTTAAATTGTTGTCATTGATATGAAATTGAATAGTCATACATTAGATTCAGTGAGCCATCCAAACAAAGGTTGTTGGATGCCAGCCCCCAGCACTCTCCATCACTGGCAGGCTATGGCTGCTAGGCCTTACAGTTCAACAAATAATACAAATGAGGACGGCACCAACATGATTGCTTCAAAGCTGTCTTTAATGTACAGCATAATGTACAGAAGATGATTGCGTTCTTACACTGGTTTTACTGGGGGCATGCCAGGGGTGTTCATCCATGCATCCCAGTCAACTGTGTTTAGGAGGTCAACCTAGAGAAAATAATAATTTTTTTATGAGGGTTTATTGAAATGTTGTGAACCAAAAATGATGCTTTTAAAGTCCTACTGACATAATCAAATAAAATAACATCATGGTATAATTGAAAATGAAACAGCCCCCTAATTTCAAGAACCCCCCCCCCACATTGTTCAGTAAATTATTACTATTGTTGCATTATCCCTTTAAAACCTTAACATCACAATGCATCACTTTCCTATGGCGACATTTACTTTCCCAAACAAAAGCTTTTGTGAGGCCCATTATTTTGCTGCTGCAGCTACAGCAGAGATTTTACATCTTTAGAATAATGTCAGGAGACATAAAACCTTTTGCCTGACTTCTGTTCTTATAAAAGTACTAATGCTCAATAAATATTTGTTCCTTCAAAGAATGCAATTTTCTGGCTAACTCTCAATGGAGGAACAACACACATGTTTCTACTAAGCTACAGTTTAACCAAACTTTTAGTATCTTGGGATTATGAAATGTTTGGTGAAAAGTGATATTATCTAAAATAATTTACTGTTAATCCCTTGTGCTGTTAAGTGGGAAAACAAATTACTTTGCAAATTCCCATGTTTTATTTCCCAGTATTCACTACTTAAGAAAACAGAGTCTCTGAAACTGTTAGTCCTGAGTTAGAAGAAACATTAACTGACTAGAAAGACTATTGGAAATGATGACCTTTTGGTAATTTTCTTTCTAAACATGTATTTTGCTTTAATAAGAATTTTGAACTGTAAGAGAAGCACCTAACCTTGTCCTTAAAATAGGAGTATAGGCAATTCTTCCAGTCCTCAGTCATTACACTCTTGTATGCAAACTGTTGTATGTATCTCCTCAAAAAGCCAATGAATACATCTGTGAACATATAAAATCAATTAACCAGACAGAAAATACCATGAGGCAAAAAGCCACATGCATTTAAGAGGAGGTTAGTACCTGGCCCACCAAGAAGCTGTTCGAGGTAAAATAGCAAAGCGAATCCTTTCTCGTAAGGAACAGAGGAATAAGCAACATCAGGGTTTACTTCCTTTAGACTAGGAATCAGGTTAGTGAAAGGATTTGTGCTTCCAAGGGTATTGATCTAAAAGGGAGACACATTTATGAAAAATGAAATAGATGAAGTGATAATGGTGGGGAAAGGGAAAGAAAAAGAGCACATAGGTACAATCTCCAACACTGGATAAGATTCATCGTGCCAAATAGTCAAACATTGCATAATCATCCCATTATCGAATATTTACATGTCCTAAGGAACATGTGTTAAACTCAAGGCCTGGGGCCGAATCCAACCTGACATGTCATTTTATGTGGCCCTTCAGATGCTGGACACTCATGTATTCCTCATTTAGACATCATGATTAAACCTGATGGGGGTTGTGATACAGTAACATATGGAATGCTGTAGTTTATTCTTTGTAGTTAGGAGTGAGGGGGTTGAATTTAAGGTAACAAATGATGTAATATCTCATTTTAAAATATCCTTTAACATTTACTCAACCTCAGAGCCACAAGAACTGTTGGGGTGCAATTCCCATTATCCCCAGTCCACTGACATTAAGTCCAGTCATGTCTGACTCTGGGGTGTGGTGCTCATCTCCATTTCTAAGCCGAAGAGCCAGCGTTGTCCGTAGACACCTCCAAGGTCATGTGGCCGGCATGACTGCATGGAGCACTGTAAAAACATGATAGTTGGTCCTCTGTATCCACAGATGCTCTATATCAGGGGTCCACAAACTTTTTAAACAGAGGGCCAGGTCACAGTCCCTCAGACTGTTGGAGAGCCAGATTATAATTTGAAAAAACATGAATGAATTCCTGTGTACACTGCACATATCTTATTTGTAGTACAAAAAACACTTAAAAACAATACAATAATTAAAATGAAGAACAATTTTAACGAATATAAACTTATTAGTATTTCAATGGGAAGTGTGGGCCTGCTTTTGGCTGATGAGATAGGATTGTTGTTGTTATTTTTTGCTTTCAAGTCGTTTCAGACTTAGGTTGACCCAGAGCGAGGGCCAGGCAAATGACCTTAGAGGACCGTATCCAGCCCCCGGGCCTTAGTTTGAGGACCCCTGCTCTATATGGATTGCCCTTTAAAGACAACAATCAGGCTGATGAAAATGAGTTTGACACAAGAGCTGGGAAACTTTGGCCCCAAATATTGTTGGTCTACCACTTCATTAGTCCTATCCAGTGTAGCCAATAGTCAGGGAATGATGGAAGTAGAGTAAAACAAATGATACATTAAAGGTTTTCTTGCTCCAATGGAATAACAAACATGTACTTCAATCCAAACAATTTTGCTCATCTATAATATTATTTTAAAGACCTAATATGACACTTGTTTAAAATCTAAGTCTTTCCTTGAATAAACTAGAAGGACTCACTGTATTCTGTAATTCTCTCCAGCCGCCCAAGGCGTGGAAATTCCTGAATTGCTCTCCAAAGAGGCGGCCACCAATTCTGCGCTCCAGGTAAACTGTGTGCCCCTCATTTAGCCTGAAAAAACAATCACATGTGTCCTTAATTCTAAATACAGGAAACTCAAGTTGAAATATACAACTTTTAAACACACTTTAATTTTACCTACCAAAAATGTTCCCAAGTTTTGTTTGTTACCAGATTCCCTGTCCAGCTGTGAGAAATTTCATGTGCTATAACCTGAAATGTACAAAAGTGTCACAAGTATAATCTTGTCTCTTTTGGTCACTAACACCCGAGTTCCCACCCAATGGTATTTTTCATTCATGTAGTAACCAAATAAGTGAACACACCTGCCGATTTGTTAGAAAAGGAGTCTAACATTTTAGAAACAAAAATATTTCAAGTGTTCACAGATGTTTTAGTACTTAAAATGGCAAATAGCATCAGTAGTACAAGAAGTCCCCAAGTTAAAAACAAGATACGTTCTGTAGGTTTGTTCTTAAGTTGAATTTGTATGCAAGCCAGAATTAGACAGATTAGAGAGATGGGCCAAAACTAACAAAATGAAGTTCAACAGTGACAAATGCAAGATACTCCACTTTGGCACGAAATGCAAAGATACAGAATGGGGGACAATGCCTGGCTCGAGAGCAGTACGTGTGAAAAAGATCTTGGAGTCCTCGTGGACAACAAGTTAAACATGAGCCAACAATGTGATGTGGCGGCAAAAAAAGCCAATGGGATTTTGGCCTGCATCAATAGGAGCATAGTGTCTAGATCTAAGGAAGTAATGCTACCCCTCTATTCTGCTTTGGTTAGACCACATCTGGAATATTGTGTCCACTTCTGGGCACCACAATTCAAGAGAGATATTGACAAGCTGGAATGTGTCCAGAGGAGGGCGACTAAAATGATCAAGGGTCTGGAGAACAAGCCCTATGAGGAGCGACTTAAGGAGCTGGGCATGTTTAGCCTGAAGAAGAGAAGGCTGAGAGGGGATATGATAGCCATGTATAAATATGTGAGAGGAAGCCACAGGGAGGAGGGAGCAAGCTTGTTTTCTGCTTCCCTGGAGACTAGGACGCGGAACAATGGCTTCAACCTACAAGAGAGGAGATTCCATCTGAACATGAGGAAGAACTTCCTGACTGTGAGAGCCGTTCAGCAGTGGAACTCTCTGCCCCGGAGTGTGGTGGAGGCTCCTTCTTTGGAAGCTTTTAAACAGAGGCTGGATGGCCATCTGTCGAGGGTGATTTGAATGCAATATTCCTGCTTCTTGGCAGGGGGTTGGACTGGATGGCCCATGAGGTCTCTTCCAACTCTTTGATTCTATGATTCTAGGTACATTTTTAAGTGTAATTACAGCCATATATTGAGAGAGAAATCGTAGCTTTGGATAGCATAGGAAAGGTTCAACACCCCTGTGGTGTTTGTTTTGCTGTCTGTGTCCCTGTTCAGAAGGTTTCACCTCACTTTCTGTCCCTGTGATCATTGGGCTTTGAAAAATTTGGCTTGTTATGGAAACAAGGATTGGTGACAATGCTTCAGGGTAGACGTCTTTTCCCCATGATAACTCTTTCAGAAGTGAATTTCCCTTCTGAGGGGGTAGATTTCTCTCACTTCCTGTTGTCTCATCTCTGTTCTTAGATATAAGTTATTTGTAAGTCAGATGTTTGTAACTCAGGGACTGCCTGTAATTGCAGAAAGCGGCATGCATCAATTTTAAAAAAGAGAATCTATTTATAAAAGTCTCCCTATATAATCTTAACTGAACTTCCATTTATACCCTCAATGATTTAAAGATCAATTAATAACTTCCATTGTTTATTTCTTGGGAAAATACATATATTATTTGCACATTACATAAACCAGAATTCTGGAGGATAAGTGAGAGTGTGAATGAGGCAGAGTCCTAGCTAGATCAATTATTGGCTTATTATGACGTGCAAACCCAGACAAGACACTACATCTTTAGCTAATTTTGCTTTGATAAAAAAACACTTCAGGACAGAACAAGTGTTTAGCAAGTACAGTATTCTTTTCTCTAAACACAAGAATTATTTTCTATCTAGGGTGCCCCCAGGGGCAGAGGTAAAGATAATCATAGAACTGAAAGAGATCTCCTGGGCTATCCAGTCCAATCCCCTGCCAAGAAGCAGGAAAATCATATTCAAAGCACCCCTGACAGATAGCTATCCAGCCTCTGTTTACAAGCCCCCAAGGAAGGAGCCTCCACCACACTCCGGGGCAAAGAGTACTACGGCTGGACAGCTCTCATGGTTAGGAAGTTCTTCCTAATGTTCAGGTGGAATCTCCTTTCCTGTAGTTTGAAGCCATTGTTCCACATCCTAGTCTCCAAGGCAGCATAAACCAAGCTTATTCCCTCCTCCCTATGACTTCCCATCACATATTTATACATTGCCATCATGTCTTCTCTCAGCCTTCTCTTCTGCAGGCTTAGCATATCCAACTCTTTAAGCCACTCCTCATAGGGCTTGTTCTCCAGACCCTTGATCATTTTAGTCGCCCTCCTCTGAACACATTCCAACTTGTCAACATCTCCCTTCAATTGCGGTGTCCAGAATTGGACACAATATTCCAGGTGTGGTCTGACCAAGGCAGAATAGAGTATTCATTATTTCTACAGTAATCAGTATTTTATCTATTTCACATCCCTAAACCACTGAAAAGTGCTCTGAAAAAGTTTGGGAGATGACACTTGCATAATGGAGAAGAAACAACTAAATATTCTTCCACCTCTTTCCAGCAAATGTAGCACACATTTTAGAAAGGATAAAACTTATCTAACTTTTGTGAAAGAAAGAAAAACCCTATTCTACTGACAGTAACAGGTCTGGAACCAACCCACTCAAATAAATCCAAGCTTTGGGTATCAGGATGCCTTGTAACCTTTTTACACTGCAGCTAAAAAAAGCAGATGGCATCCTGCTCAGCAATTACAATGTAGTAAGCCTGACTTACTAGGTCAAAATTACCCTAATTCACTATTGCAATAACTGAACATGCCTACAGTCTATCTTTTAGTCACATTGCCTCTGTAACAGAAAACATGGTTTCTTGAATTAATTTTCAGATTCGTACAAAGCAGTCTGATGATGCACAGTAAATGATATATACTTCTACTTACACCAGATAATGATCTGTCACCAGCCTAAAAGAGAAAGATATCAAGACATTACTTCCTAAAAATTGCACCAGTCAAACTTCATGCAATACCATTTCCTAGTTTTGGCAAAAATTATGGCAATGAATGTGTATTGAACAAGCTACAAGTTATATGGATTTTAGGCGATGCCCTAAAAAAGAGCATTTGTTTTACAATGCATGAAATAGAAGTACTTACCAACAATGTTGGAGTCACAAAAGTGAGGCAGGGGTTCTCCATTCCACCATATGGAAATGATGGTGGCAAAACGAGCAAGTCATACTGACCCCACACATAAGGGCCCGCCAAGTCTTCTGCTATTTTCAACATGGCTTCAGTCTGAAACAAAAAAGCTCAGGTTTTAAAATTCAAAATTGGCATGATCTCACAAGATACACAAACTGACAAGGATAATGTGATATCTGCTTTAGACCGGTTTCCAAGGAGATATCACAGAATAATCACTAACCTCTGCAAATTCATAAGCCGATTTATCCACCAGTTCTTTCTCAGCCCACACCAAAGTCCTGGGTCCAATCTTTCTGAAGACCAAAAAAAAAAAAACCAAAAAAACCCTGATCAACTAAGAATGGTGTCTTCAATATTTCTGATGCTTAAGTTCAAGCCTTTTCCATTTTCTAATGTCATCCAATCTCTTATCCACAAAAGGGCACTAGCCTCATGATATGTTTTCAGATCTGGGAATCCCAGTCCCCCTCGTGTTTTTTTATCAATTAAGTTCAAATATTTAATTCTCGGTCTTTTCCCATTCCACACAAATTTCAATAATTCTTTCTTCCATTTTATAAATTCTGTTTGATTTTTGATTATGGGTATATTTTGAAATAAAAACAGTAGTTTAGGTAAAACATTCATTTTTATGAGCGCAATTCTTCCTAGTAGAGATAGTTTCAATAAGCTCCATTTCTTTAAATCTTTCTGTATCTTGCTCCAAGTCAAGTCATAATTATTCTTCAATAGTTGCCCATTCTTTGCTGTCAACCAAATCCCCAGGTACCTTAATTTTTTCACTATTTCCATTCCTGTAATCCTTGTAATTTCTTCTTGGTCTTCTTTCCCTATATTTTTAGTTAGTATTTTAGTTTTCCCTTTATTTATTTTGAGGCCTGCCACTTTCCCAAATTCTTGTATTTTTTCAATCCAGTTTTGTAAATTATTAATTGGGTCTTCCACTATTCCCAGTAAATCATCCGCAAAGGCTCTTATTTTATATTCGTATTTCCCGATTTTTACTCCTTTAACATTTGTATCTTCTCTTATTTTCATCATTAATGGTTCCAACGCCATTATAAAAATTAATGGGGATAACGGACATCCTTGTCTCGTTCCTTTTGTAATCTCAAATTCCTCTGATAATTGGCCGTTTATCCGAATTTTTGCCTTTTTGCAATTTGTGAAGAGTTAACAATACTTGAGAAAGGGGATAGCTGTTGAGAAGAACTACTGTTTTTAATTGTTGTAAACCGCAATGAGTCGCCGACTTAGGCTGAGATATTAGCGGTATACAAGTGTATAAATAATAAATAAATAAATAAATACTGGGAGTCAACTGCTCAATTTTGAGTATTTCCTTTAACACCCCTTGTTGTGAATACAACAACAAAACACATTCTTTGAATACTGTTCCCTTGCCATAATGCAACAAATTCCCTCATCAATTTCCATTATGGTTTTATCTGCACTCATCTTAATTATCCTCTGCTTTAAAATGTAATCTAATTAAGAAACGCACTTGAATGTAGACACATTCTCGAAACAGGGTTCATGTGCTGTTCTGTTCTCCCTGCAATGAACTACATTCCTTTGTAGCAGATTTAGGGTACATCTATACTGTAGAATTAATGAAATTTGAAATCATTTACTGATGTGGCTCAATGCTGTGGCATCACAGGAGCTGCAGCTTTACAAGGCCCTTTAGCTGTCTCTGCCAAAGACTGCTGATGTCTCATCTAATTACAGTCCCTGGGATTCCACAGCATTGGGTCAGGGCAGTTAAAGTGGTGTCAAACTGAATGAATTTTACACCACAGCAGCCAAAAGAGAAAGTGTATCTAATTCTTTAAAACTGCTACCAATATTGTGGTCAAAGGCTTTCATGGCTGGAATCACTGGGCTGCTGTGAGTTTTCTGGGCTGTATGGCCATGCTTCTGGAACATGGTCATACAACCCAGAAAATTCACAGCAACCTACTGCTAACAACACTGTCTGACACCATAACCAGCTAGACATAAACAGCAAGTATAAATTTAAGCACCGTTTGCTAAATTGCAGAAACATGCAAGCTTGGCTTGATGAAAAGTACAAATGGAACTTCCTGAACTTTTCATTACCACACCAGAGAAGAGGAAGTGTGCAAATCCCCACCAATGATCTATTTATACCACATTACAACAATTAGCACAGCTTCTAAAAGGAGCCATCTCAATGTAGGAAATCCCACCTGCTTTCCAATGCACCAACAACCAGAGCAATCAGATAGCAGGGTATTGGAACCTAGAAATAGAAGACGTTCCTTAATATGTAATAATTACAATAAATGACAAGTCACCTATTTCATATTCACAGGGTTATTTCTTCAAGTCAAAACCACCCCATGCTTTTCATATAACTGAAATATATACCACAGTGGGCAGAAAAAAAGACTCTTACATCTTGAAAGAAGCGGTATATCTTCCTAGAGCTGTCTTCGGGATCAGGCATGTCTCCATCTCTCTTAGCACTCATAAGAGCCACCAGTTCATTTGGAACAGATATCTGATAGGTACAAAAATGTCAATAGTTTCTATTTAATAAATTAACTATTTTCTAAGTCACATCTATATAAATAAAAATGTAATGTTCGTTTGTGGGATTAACATAACTCAAAAACCATTGGACGAATTGACACCAAATTTGGACACAATACACGTATCAGGCCAACCAATGACCATCATAAAAAGACTGAAAAATACAGAAGAGACTTAAAAAGCCAAAAAACAAAAAATACATTACAACGCATGCGCAAAACCACATATATACACAAACACACATATATATACTTATACACAAATATACACACACATATATATGCATATATATATATACACACAAAACACATCTACACAGACTGGGCCACAGCAATGCATGGCAGGGGACAGCTAGTATAAATATAATTTAGAATGCCAGTTCTACAGATAAATTTCAGAAAAAATTCAAAGTTCAACTTTCCTGCAAATGTTCAGATCAGTGGTTCTCAACCTGTGGGTCCACAGATGTTTTGGCCTTCAACTCTCAGAAATCCTAACAGCTGGTAAACTGGCTGGGATTTCTGGGAGTTGCAAGCCAAAACACTTGGGGACCCACAGGGTTAAGAACCATGATGGATAACTTTTTCCACACCTGCAGCTTTGTCTTCTGTTTTTCTACTATATCTCTGTATCTTCTTCAAAAATCTCTTGCCATTTTTCTATGAATACCAAACTCGAAATACTTAGGAACTTACACTCCTAATGCTGGGCAGACACCACTAACATCCCTTTGCAGATTTCAGAGTTCCTCATATTGAATGAAATAAACAAGACAATTTCAGGAAGAATGTTTATATGGGTAGGATGTACTATATCTAGTAACCACAAACTTCCAGTATCAAAATGATGGCTCAGCTATGTTAGTGATACCATGGCATTATTACTTCCACATTCTAAGTTAGAAATTGCTTACCCATCACCTCTTAGTTCGTCTTTAGTAATTTTAAAACACTTGCCACAACTGATTTTTTTTCTAAGTGTTTTTTGTGTGTGTGTCAGGAGTTACTTGAGAAATTACAAGTCGTTTCTGGTGTGAGACAATTGGCTGTCTGCAAGGAAGTTGCCTAGGGGGATGCTCATATGTTTTGATGTTTTACCATCCTTGTGAGAGGCTTCTCGCATGTCCCTGCATGGGGAACTGGAGCTGACAGAGGGAGCTCAACCCACTCTCCCCAGATTCGAACCGCTGACCTACTGCCACCAACAGAGACTCCTTCTAATTGTGTATTTAATTATCAGTGGTTAATACTGCTGCAGAATATACTACTTTATAACACAACATTAATTTTATATCCGACATATAAAATCAGTTGCAAAGTTATACCCCAGATTTGTAACTGATAGATTTTAAAACTAAAACTCATTATACACCAAGGTTTAACACAATGGCAACTTCACATAAGACTGAGGCTGGTTCCACCCTACCATATGATACAGTTTCAGAAGGCAGATTAACTGCATTGAAATGGATTATATGGCAGTGTAGATTCATGTAATCCAGTTCAATGCAATTAATCTGCATTCTGAAACTGCATTATATGGTAGAGTTGATCTGGCCTTTATTGACACTATTACAGTGAAGTAATATGCTACTCAACTCTGATTATTTTTATGGAATTGAACCTGTTATCAATAAGTTGCACCATATCAACATTTCAAAGGTCACGTTGGCTAAAAGAAAATATTTAATTTACATTTATTTACCCGTATATACTTGAGTACAAGTCAGCCCAAATATAAGCTGAGCCACCTAATTTTACCATAAAAAACTGAGAAAATGTATTGACTCGAATATAAGCCAGCAGTGGGAAATGTAGCAACTACTAGTAAATATCAAATAAAAATAGATACCAATAATATTACATTAATTGAAGCATCAGTTGGTTAAATGTTTTTGAATATTCACATAAAGTGTAATTTAAGATAAGATTGTTCAACTCTGATTAAATCATTATTCTAACCTTGTTCAATGTATATGTGCTTATGTATCCTTTCAATAATAATAGAGTAAAATAATAATAATAATAGAGTAAAATATTAAATGTAATAACAATAATAAAGTAAAATGATAAATGTAATAATAATAAATAGAGTAAAATAATGGAAATGTAATAATAAAAATAATAATCAATAGAGTAAAATAATGTAATAATAGAGTAAAATAATAAATTCAATAATAATAACAACAACAGAGTAAAATAATAAATAATAAATAACTTTGAGTCGGGTACAGGGTGAGGCAGCATAACTTCCTTTTTTAAAATGCATGCCATTCAGTCGGTTGAAGACGTAGTGGAGCGTTAGTGGTCTCGTTTGAGAGGCGGGAGTATAAAGTTTTGTCCTGACATAGTTCAGTCACCATCATGTGTTGGAACAGTGAGGAGCCTGCTTTTTCTATTGAGGCCTACTTTTTGAGCGGATTTGGAGTGGGCGGCCCACTCTCCAGATTTGGCCCCTTGTGATTTTTTTCTTTGGGGTTTTTTGAAATCCCGTGTTTATGTGAACTGTCCAAGGACCCTACAAGATTTGAAGACCAACATCCAGGAAGAAATACCCAACATAATGCCTGCTATGCTGGCAAGAGTCATGAAAAACGCCAGAAATCGGTTTATTTAGTGTATGGAGAATAGAGGACATCACCTAACTAATTTGATCTTCAAAACTACGCGAAACAAAACTTTAGGAATGCGCCTACATTATAGAAAAAATTCTGATTCATACAATGGATTTTATTAAGTTTTGAAAAAAGGAAGTTATGCTGCATCACCCTGTATTAACCGAGGGGTGTTTTTTTAGTCTAAAAAGGGGGCTGAAAAACTCGGCTTATACTCAAGTATATACAGTAAACTGAAAAACATTTAAATAAAATAAATAAATGGCTCAATTGCTCTAAATTCTTTTAGAATATAGAAACCTTAGTGAGAACCGATCATTTTTCAGATTCTACAGGATAAAACAACTAGACAGAACTTCCACAAACTTTTGTGTCCCAGAACAAAGGGAGGAACACAATTCAGTGCCTTCCGAGACTAGCAGATTTCAAATAAATATCAATGTACTGTATTTCCCTTTTGTTGAAGTTTTAAAGCAGTTTGTAATGTATCAATACTATCCTTACAGCTAGATCAACTCATATAAATCCACGTAATAAGAGGGTGAAGTTTGCATATCAAGAGTATGAAGCCTGTGGTTTAACCTACCTCTGCATAGTATGTTAACTTCACAGAAGGGGTATCTTGGCAAGGAAGAATAGCTCTACAGTGAGTAGCCTGAAAAAGAAAGTAATAAAGGTGCTATTTTTATAGACAATTGTTACAATATACTGTAGGAAACAAAGTAGCTCCCCGCACTACATTGGTTTCTTTTGTATTGTCATACCACCATCAAAAGCAAAAGACAAAGATATCCAGCCACAAATCAATCAGTTTCATATGCCTGACCATATTACGTTTACATATTTATCATGTAACTGCCCACAGGCCTCAGATTCCAACTCTGAAAAGCAATTACTTCCTGTTTTTGGGTTTAGCATTCAGTTACCTTTAGTCCTCTGGTTCACACAATGTTTTCATTAATAATCTGATAATTTCATTTGGAATACAGAACAGCGATCACAGCTGGGAAAGTTTAATTTTTGGACTTCAACTGCAATATTCTACCCTTCTTCCAGCCAGCGTGATCCCTGACCTTGCTGGATTCTGCGATATGTAGTCCAAAAAGTAACCTTTCCAAGCTCTGAACAATTCAGTATTATGCAATCCCTTCTATGGTATCAAATTACCTACTCTCTCAAAATGATATGGAAAGGAGACTCTACAGTGCATTTACACTGTAGAATTAATGCAGTTTGACACCACTTTATGTTCTATATCTCAATGCTATGAGATCCCAGGTCATAGTTTCACAAGGTCCCTGTCAAAGAGTGCTGGTGCTTCACCAGTCCACAAACCTTAAGATTCCATAGCATTGAACCATGGCAGTTAAAGTGGTGTCAAACTGGATTATTTATATAGTGTACATACAACCCTCAGTTCCAATTAGGTGAGGTCTTTTGTGCCTTTATCCCCAGGCAACACATTCACCATGGGTTGGGACATTATTGTGAAATAACAGATGTATATATTGAAAGAAAGGGACAGTCAGAGCCTTTTCAGTTTGCTAAGCTGCACTGTAAGAGCCCATGCTACATACTCAATACAACCTATAGCAGATTTTGGGTTGGAGGTACTTCAGATGTCAAGGCATAATTCATCCCATGGGTAACACTAAGATGAAGATACTGTACACAGCAGTGGAGGGCAACAAATCACTTAGCTCACCTGACACTGACTGAAGAGGAAGGGATGCCTCTTTCCTGATGTCTGCTCTGGAGTAAACCACTGAAGTGCTGAAGATCTTGGAGCGGATTCAAAAGCGATCTCTATGACAACATCTTGTCCTCTGCAAATATGTCAATAATTGTTACATGTTTTAACAATAAATCATAATCGTCAACAACAAATGGAATAAGTTCGCTACATTGATCCAGAAAAGCTTCTATCAACACAGTTTTATAGCTGTCAGTTTTGGCTTGTAGCAGGGTTTTGAGCCCTGTCTTGGGTATTTTGGAGCAGTATGTAAATAAAGACAAAGAAGGCAAAGAAAGGAGACAATAGCAGTAGAAGTAAAAAACAAAAGGTTTATGACAAAATATAACATTTGGCATCAGGAAGATGGGACTGAGAAGCAGAATTTCTACCTGTCCTATTAATCTGAATTTGTAAAGGAGGCAACAAAGAAAGTCTCAGTAAAAATATCATTTCTGGCCTAATAAGCTCAGTGGATAAAGGAAACTAAGCAAGAACGGAAGCATGAATGCAGCAATAGGCAATTTGTTCATAGTAAGTCCGATCCCCCAATCCTGCTCCAGCCTTTCATAACATATCTTCCTCACACTTTTCGGAGTAAATGCTGTAGAAATATTCTGCACGTATCCAATCAATTTTTGATTTCCTAATCAATTGCACTTTATATATGAAACCGAAGATATGACAGTGAGTGATTACTATACTTAAAAATAAAGAAACAAACCAGTTAGGCATTAAGAAAACTCTGATGCAGCCCATCAATACTTTAAAACACTCGGTCCAATGCAATTCAGTCATAACAGCATGTAACATTTGATCTCAAAATCAGCAACCACGATCACAACAAAAGCCCATCTCACTCAATAAGTTGGAAGTCTTAGTGCTGCCCAGACTTAGCATTCATTGAAATTATCAAATAGCAAAGACGATTTACTATGTTCCAACTTAGCATTATGATTAGATTTGCAACACTAGCATAAGTCATGTGCTTCATTGGTATAACAGCTTAGATATTTACTAAGGAAGAGGTAAGCTTCTATATGATATGTCATTATTTTATTTGAATCCTCCTTTTCTCCAACCAAGATAACAGGACAGGTTAAATATGCAACTAACATAACATTTAATTATGGAAGTTAAAAATCATTGAAAAAACATGCCTCCTAAAACAAACCTATTTCATTAACAGGGGTTCTCAGAATATGAAGGGAGTGACTAAATAAATACACACTTACTTTCCCAGCACAAAAGGAAGGGTGATTTCCAGTGGTGCTCCTTTGAAGGAATGGGGTTGTCCAAGAGCATATTTTGCCTCTTGCCTATTGACAAGCACACTATGGATTGTGAGATCCTTTGTGTCCAAAACCTGTCAAGAAATGTAGGGGATATTACTGCAAAGACCCTAAAATACCTTGACTTTTTAAAAATAAGAGTAAACAGGAAAAAACCCAAAATAATATGGTATGCAATATGTATCAGTTCTATTATACTCTGAAATTTTAAAAACCGAAGATATAAACATAGCAGACTTTTTAAAAATCCAAGTCTATTATGAAGATTTTCACCATACAAAATCAGCATGCCATGTTGGGTGAGTGACATACTTCTTTATATTTTCCTACACAGTTATGTATTTTTGTAACATCACGTCAGATACTAGTTTCTTGCCAAGCATATTTTGTATAATGTTTGATTTCTATGACAATATACAGTCAGAAATAAATTTTGACCAATTTTCAACATCTGATTTCACAAAGTAGGTGTATATGCATGAAAAATGTGGTTGTTCCAGTGTGCTTAAAAACGTGGTTGTTCCAGTGTGCCTTCCCAGAATAAGGTAACTCCAAGCAATATGTCCCAAATGCACTTTACCAGAGATCTAGATTGCCTGCACACCCCTCCTATCCCTAAAATATCTATCCTATTTCACCTGATCATGCCCGGAACTTTTTAAAAGATTTTAAGTATTACATTTGGCCCTGCCACAGGTTTCAATGCGCCGTGGTGTTATTGTAATTTTTTTTGCTTTGTTTATGTGTTTTTTTTATTTATTGTATTGTTGTTGTTGTGTTTTACTGATGTATTTAGGCTCGGCCTCTTGTAAGCCGCACTGAGTCCTTCGGGAGATGGTATCGGGGTATAAATAAAGGATTATTATTATTATTATTATTATTATTATTATTATTATGCATACCACACCCAAGCACCCCCTTTTTACTTTTTAAAGTATTCAGCTCATTTCATAATTTACTGTATCTCCTGGTACTGACAAAGAACAGAACGTAACATTATTCCAAAGCACTTCAGCTAAACTGCTGGTGAAACAAAATGACTCTTGAGGATTTTTTTTGGCCCAAAGGCAAAACATTTTTGTGGCAAGAGAATTGATTTCTGGCAGAACTAGTTTTTAATCGCAGGCTTGTATACACAAGGACTGCACTTGGTAAAACTTTAAGCATCTGTATTGTGTATGCCATTTTCAAGTGCTTCATGCATCATTATGGAATCTGTCCCAGAAACTGACAGGACATGAGACGGGAATTCAAGCACAGATTCTATTCATAGAGAAACTTGGACCCCTATCTTTGTTTACAATTTTGAGCAGCCTTCCCAACTACAACATTCATCGCCCAGGGTGCATCTACACCAGTGGTTCCCAAACTTTTTTTGACCAGGGACCACCCTTCAACATTAGTACCAAAAGGGTTACGAATCAGAGTTTCGCAAGACCAGTCGCTCTTGTTGCAGCGGTCTAGTAACGGTGAAACAGCAGACCATATTTTTGTTCTTGCAGTTCAGTGGTAGTCCACGGACTACAGGTTGGAAACCATTGGTCTACACTGTAGAATGAATGCCGTTGGATATCAGTTTATCTGTCATGGTTCAATGCAACAGATTCCTGGCAATTGCAGTTTGGTGAGACACTGGCATTATTTGGCAGAGAAGGCTAAAGATCTTGTAAAATGACAACTCCCAAGATTCCACAGTCTTGATCCATGGCAATTAAAGTGATTTCAAACTGCATTCATTCTGTAGATGCATCTCCAGTCAACATGACTTGCCTTGTCATGTTGTCTAGAAGTTGCAATGCCACCATATTTGGTCTCAGAGCTTACTATCTTTAACCAAATTCAGACTGCTGTGATTCTTCTAACTTCTTAAACCCTAATTAAGTTCGGTAGGATAAAAATGGGAATCTTGGGGACTCCAAACGTTTTGACTAACAACTCCCACCAGCATCACTCATCATGATCAATGGTAAGGGACTATGGAAGCTGTAGCGCCCAACATCATCTGCTCGTGATCCCACCTACGTCGCAAGCGCGCTTGGTGGGGACACGGGACAGGGCTTTCTCTGTGGCGGCCCCCCGACTTTGGAATGCCCTTCCAAAAGAGCTTCGTCAGGCCCCTACCCTAGCAGTTTTCAGAAGGAACCTAAAAACTTGGCTGTTCCGATGTGCCTTCGCAGATTAGGAATCCCCTATCCCAAGTCCTAGAAGCACTTTAGCATAACCAATGTTGCTGCACACCGCACTTTTAATCCTACGTTCCTCCTGCCATCTCAGCACTTTTAACCCTGTACCCCATTGCGCCGTTTTAATAGTGTCTTGATGTATTGATGTATTGTCATTGTTGTTATTTTGCTTAATTGTTTTGATTTGCTTTGTTTATTGTTGTGTTATGTTTTTCTATTGTATTGTGTTTTGAAGCCGCATCGAGTCCTTTGGGAGATGCTAGCGGGGTACAAATAAAGTTAATAATAATAATAATAATAATAATAATAATAATAATAATAATAACATCTGGAGGTTCAAAGGTTTCCCACCCTTGCCTTGAGATGTTGTTGCTGCAAGCAAAAGATATGGTTATCAGGGAAGCAGCAAAGTACAACTTTCAAGAACCTGAAAAATAACAAAGTCCAAGTACTGTACAATTAATAATTGATTTTCATCACCCATTTTATTGGATTGCACTGTTCCCCAATTTTGAGTTCTGGGCACCACCTGCTGACTACTCCTCCATATCTCTAGCAGACATCAAAAGAACTGATCCACGGTCAAACAGGATCAAGAAAAATCATGTTAAAGTTTGCTTTAGGGTTGCCATGCCCTGAAGGAAAAATTAAAAGTAAGCATATGGTTGCAAAAGTGAAAACAGGGAAGGGATCTTGTATGTTTAACGCTTATAAGGAAGAGGAAATTTCAGCAGCAAGGTGGCATGGCAAGCCACAGCTGCTGCATTTATCTTTTCTTGTTGTTGACTACCATCAAGCCAACTTCAACTTACAGAAGCCCCATAAATATGAGACTTCCAGATGACTCTGTTGTCAATAGCCCTGCTCAGGGTCTTGCCTTCCTTGATGGAGTCCATCCATTTACAATGAGGTCTTTCTTTTTTCCTCCTGCTTCCTCCAAGGATAAGTGCCTTCATTAGTGAATCCTGACTTCTCAATAGTACCTGGGAGTTATCCTGGATCGTGCTCTGATCTACAAAAAGCACTGCTTGAATATCAAGCAAAAAGTGGGTGCTGATATCACCTGCTTTTATCACCCGAAAGCTGACTGGCACAACCTGGGGATCACAACCATAAAACAGTGAAGACATCTGCCCTTGCACTGTGCTACTCTGCTGCTGAGTATGCATGCCCAATGTGGAACACATCTCAACACATTAAAACAGTGGATGTAGCTCTTGATGAAACATGATGCATTATCACAAGATGTCTACACCCTACACCACTGGAGAAATTATACTGTTTAGCCCGTATTGCTCCACCTGACATCAGCTGGGAAGTAGCAGCCAATAATGAAAGGACCAAGGCAGCGACATCTCCGCTCCATCCCCTGCTCGGATATTAACCAGTACGCCAACACCTTAAATAAAAAAATAGCTTTCTAAGATGAACGCTATGTGAGGGACATTCACGGCAAGCGAGAGTCCAAAAGTGGCAGGCTAAAACCTGGAACCTCAATCAGTGGCTGATACCGAATGAGAGACTCCACCCTGGAGAGACAGTAGACTGGGCGACTTGGAAGGCACTGAACAGACTACGCTCTGGCACCACCAGATGCAGAGCCAACCTTAAGAAATGGGGCCAAAAAGAGGAGTCCACGACATGCAAGTACGGAGAAGAGCAAACCACCTATTACAATGCAGTCTGAGCCCTGTCAACATACACAATGGAAGACCTTCTTACAGCAACACCAGAGGCACTCCAAGTGGTCAGATACTGGTCAAAGGACATTTAGTATAATGACAAGTTTTTAATTTTTTGTGTGTTTTTAAATACATTATAACTGTACCCTCAAAGGACATTTAGTATAATGATACGTTTTTAACTTTTTTGTGTTTTAAATACGTTATAACTGTACCCACAGAGGACATTTAGTGAAATGACAAGTTTTTTTTAAGTTTGTTTGTTTTTAAATACGTTATAACTGTACCCTCAAAAGGACATTTAGTGAAATGATAAGTTTTTAACTTTTTTCTGTGTTTTAAATAAGTTATAACTGTACCCTCAAAAGGCGTTTGGTATCATGATGAGTTTTTAACATTTTTTGTGTTTTAAATAAGTTATAACTGTAACCTCAAAAGACATTTAGTATCATGATAAGTTTTTAACATTTTTTGTGTTTTAAATAAGTTATAACTGTACCCTCAAAAGACATTTAGTATAATGATAAGTTTTTAACTTTTTTTGTGTTTTAAATAAGTTATAACTGTACCCTCAAAAGACATTTAGTGAAATGTCTTTTGTACCATTTAGTACATTTAGTGAAATGTCTTTAGTATAATGACATTTTTAATTTCATTTGTGTTTTTTAATACATTATAACTGTACCCTCAAAAGACATTTAGTATAACGACAAGTTGTTTAAACTTTGTGTTTTTCAAATACATTACAACTGTACCCCCGGTTCACTCCCAATACAATAAATAATAGTACAATAATCTCAAGTTTTATCACTTTAGCTTCTAGCTTGATTTGTTCTAGGATTGCTTACTTATCACTTTTTGGCAGTCCCAAGATGTGGTAGACCTCAAGTGTGTCATGTTCCTATCAGCTTATTTCAAATACATAGAAATAACAAAGCATGGAGCATTCTAATTCCAGCATTCAAGAATTTATCTTTCACTTCAGGATCTTGTCTAGTTCTGTTAGAGGCCTTCCCCAAGTTTTAGGGTGCATCTAAAACAGGCCTGGGCCAGCTTGGGCCCTCCAGGTGTTTTGGCCTTCCACTCCCACCATTCCTAACAGCCTCAGGCCCTTTCCTTTTCCCTCTCAGCCGCTTAAGCGATTTCCCCAAATGCGGGAAACTCGACTGCATAATTTGTGGTTTAAGCGGCTGAGGGGGAAAAGGAAGGGGCCTGAGGCTGTTAGGAATGGTGGGAGTGGAAGGCCAAAACACCTGGAGGGCCCAAGCTGGCCCAGGCCTAGTCCACACTGTAGAGGGAAGAATGCAGTTCCATACCAGGGAGCGCAGCTGGTCGGCCTCGGCCCGGACGGTGAAGGCGGCGGTGCCTCGTATTGCCTGGGCGGCGAAGTCCACCCGGCAGCGGAGGTGGAGGTGATGCGTGCGGCAGGCGCTCGGGGCTGCGAACGAGCTGGGATCCTCCTCAGCCATGACTTCGCCTCACTCTCCCTCTCTCTGAAGAAGCACAGCCCTAGTGTCGGGATGGAGGCCCCGCCCCGTTGGAGGAGTTCCAAAGAGGGATTCTGGGAAAGGTAGTTCTTTCCGGCGGCAGAGCTTAGGAAAAGGTGACAGATGAACTACTTCTCCCATGACTCACAGCGGGGAGGTTTCGTCAGGACAGTGCGCGGATTGGTTAGTTCACCGAGCAGCCCTGTTGCACGTCATGAGTCAGCCAGGAAATGATTTTAAATAAGCTCAGGACGAAACGCCGCTCAAGTACTTCCTCGTTAGTATAGTGGTGAGTATCCCCGCCTGTCACGCGGGAGACCGGGGTTCGATTCCCCGACGGGGAGATACAGAGAATTTTGTCATTTGTAAATTATCTAGATGACGATAATAATAATAATAATAATAATAATAATAATGAATTGGCATCAACACCTTTTGTTGTTTTTACACAACACTTTGCAAATACCTTAATAATAATAATGAATTAGCATCAACACCTTTTGCAAATATCTTAGAATCATAGAATCATAGAGTTGGAAGAGACCTCATGGGCCATCCAGTCCAACCCCATTCTGCCAAGAAGCAGGAATATTGCATTCAAAGCACCCCTGACAGATGGCCATCCAGCCTCTGTTTAAAAGCTTCCAAAGAAGGAGCCTCCACCACACTCCGGGGCAGAGAGTTCCACTGCTGAACAGCTCTCACAGTCAGGAAGTTCTTCCTCATGTTCAGATGAAATCCTCTTTCTTGTAGTTTGAAGCCATTGTTTTGCGTCCTAATAATAATAATAATAATAATAATGAATTGGCATCAACACCTTTTGTTGCTTTTATACACCACTTTGCAAATACCTTAATAATAACAACAACAACAACAATTAATTAGCACCAACACCTTTTGTTGATGCTTTGCAAGTATCTTAATAATAATAATAATAATAATGAATTGGCATCAACACCTTTTGTCACTTTTACACACTACTTTGCATGTATAATAATAATAAGACTACATAGCCAATACATCACACAGTCCTAGACCCTCAGGAAGTGTCTGATGTGTGATCCATTACAACAGCCAGCAGAGTGATCTTGTCTGCTGTGGACTCATCTTGTTGTGTTTCAAATAATAATAATAATAATAATAATAATAATAATAATAATAATAATAATAATATCTCAGCCGGCATTTGGAAACAATAAACATTGACAAAATCACGATCTATCAACTGCAAAAGGCCACCTTACTTGGATCTGCGCGCATCATTCAAAAATACATCACACAGTCCTAGACGTTTGGGAAGTGTTCGATTTGTGATTTTGTGATACGAAATCCAGCATATAGATCTCGTTTGCTGTGACATACTGTGCTTTTGCATCAGTGAAATAATAATAATAATGAATTAACATCAACACTTGCGATGCTACTGTCTTTATGTATACTCATTCTTGGATATCTCAATTTTGGTCATTTTTTCCCACTTGCACTGACAGTATCAATAGAGAGTTCTAAGAAGCTGAAAGCCAACTATATTTGAATTAGGGCAGTTCCAGACAGAACCAAATTACAAGCTTTAATCAGGGGCAAAAAAACAAAAACAAAACAAAAACCCAGGACCTGGGAACATGTCCAAATACAGAGCTGTTGGTCCTATGATTTCTGTTTCTGTTGTCCACATTTGCTGCTTTGTTGTGGGATTTTGCAGCCCCCAAGATAGCTGCCGTGGGACATCCGCAGGAAATTTCCGCAATTTAAAAAAAAATTAAGATGCAAAGATGCGAATCATTGTAAAAGTTCAGTTCTTGGGTTATATAGGCTGCAGGGCCATCTGTGAGGACAGGGTGTTGTTCCTGGGTTATACATGTCTGTTCTCCATTGCTCTTATTCTGAAAAGATTTACAATGTTGACTAGGGGGACACAACTTAGGCTTAAATGGCTGAGGGGGAAAAGGAAGGGGCCTGAGGCTGTTAGGAATGGTGGGAGCTGAAGTCCAAAACACCTGGAGTGTCCGGGTTTTCCCAGGCCTGGTTTAGATGCACCCTAAGACTTGGGAAAGGCAGCTAACAAAGAACTAGACTCCTAATTCCATCCCTAAAATCACTTATTTCAGTTGCCATCGTGATACCTATATGGAAAACAGAATAATAAAACCATAGAGTTAGAAATTACTCCAAGGGTCATCCAAAGCATGACGCACAATCAAAACTCTCCCGACAGATGGCCATCCAGCCTGCGCTGGGAACAAGACGTTATCTGGCGATCCCTCTGATTCCTGCCCCATCCACCTGAGAGTCCTTTCTGTTGTGAAATAAACATTAATGTAGCATATGCAGCGAAAAAACAAATTAACAATTTCAATATTGGGGAAAGTCTCAGTATACATTAATAAATGAAGGAAGATATAGAGAACTACTAAAACTGGTCTGCAAGCTTCTGATGTATCTTCCTCTCCTTCCTCCTTGAGCAACAGTGTATCAACACTAGTGCTCCACATGTCCAGAGAAGGGGTAATGTTGTTATAAATTGCAAAAATTTAGTGAAGTTGTGAAAGTGAGCAGAAGGAAGGAAGCGGCCGACTATTTTAGCACAATAATGAAACTGAAGAATATTCACCCCCTTGTGTTTTCTCAGAGTTACAGATGCAATCTGTGTTGAAACCATTGTGCAAATGAGCCCGAGCGCGGCCGAGACCCCCGCCTTCAAATTAGTATGAACCGCAGCGGAGAGTTCCGCAGTTCCTGGGAGCCAAGTTTGGGATCAACTGATGAAATGTGCCCCAACAGGCAGCTCAAAGCCAGAAATGCCTTTAACTTTCCTTTGCTTTCCCCTTCTCCGTACTATGTAACATTCCCTAATAAAAGTACTTGAAACTGCAACTTTTAATCTTTCCGCTTGATACTTTTGTATCTTTCCATGCCTCAGACTAACTCAACCTGAAAATAAACCTTTTTCCAGGCTCCGGAGAGCCGTGAGCCTGCCGGGGGCGCCTGCTGGCACCCCCGGAACACCGGATCTGTGTTCGTTAAAACCGTGGATACGGAAACCGCCATTTTGGACCCCCGTATCCGCTAAAACAACAAAATGGCGGATTGACGCCGTTCCAATTTTGTATTTTTCTGCTGTTAATTCTAAGACTAACTGCCATCTCGCTTTCCTCATTTTGGACTCCCCCGCCCGGGGAATAATTGGTTTTGTTTAAAGTATTAATTTGACAGAAATCAGCTGTTTGTCAAATTTTGCTGGCTTCTTCCAAGGCAGCCTGTTTCTCACCCACACCGCTCGTTCCTGCTCGACCCCGCAGCCGGGGGCTCACTATGGCTACCCATGGGAGGCCCTGGGAAGGCGGCCAGGCGGGAACTCCGGCCCCTGGAGGAGAGACATAGTTCTCCAAAGGCCGGACAAATGGACTCTGTTACTATCCAACCCAGCGCTCACCACTGGACTTCTGCCTTTCTTTTTTCCCTGACTTATGAACTGGACTGTTTACATATCCATGGCCACGGATTCTCTGCTGGTGCCTGATCCGAGACGCTGGCAGCCTCCGTTTCCGCGCATCCTTTTCCACGTCTATGAAATCTCTGGTTTATGTCACAAATAAAGATCAAATATTGTATTAAACTTTATGGGGTGGGATGGGGTTCCTCTTCTATACTATGTATGAAATGTATCGTATGAAATATAATGTGCTCCCTTCCCGCCTTTCCTCTGACCTTCACCCTACAAAAAAAGGTGACCAGAAATTGTTGTGATGCCCGGGGGAAATTCTCCGCTTCCCCCAAAACTCTTCCCTGATTGACTTATCGGCATGGAACAATAACTGTTGATTCCCTCTTCCCGCCTTCTGAGCCTGTCTAGTGGGAAGAGGAAGTCAACAGAAACCTGGAAAAAAGAATTGATTAAATTCACAAAGACAGCATTGATCCCTTTTGAGGTCCACTGTCTGACCCAATATTATCTTTCCCCCAAAGCCATTTCAACAGGAAGACTTTTGTTTACTGGGGTCACACCTGGCCGGCCAGAACAAAGCCTCGCATTCCATCCTGGCTGGTCAGCTGTAATCCCATCATTTCTCCATTGTGTACGCTTGTCCCACCCTCTCGCTCCTGATTCGTCCATCCTCGGGAGCGAGAGAAACGTTCCAATTGGCCCTCCAGAGGCAGAGAAGCATGCCGATTGGCTAGGAGGCGGGGCGGGTCACCAAGCCTCCTCCCAGCTGTTCTGCAGTCAGCCAATCAGCGCGAAGCCGGCCGGCAGAGGGCGGGCGGGAGTTTTGAATTGCTTTCTTTGTGTCTTCTCTATAAAAATGATTGTAACCATCCTAGCAACCATGCTTGTGGTGGAATTATTCCTGCATTGCATCCGATTACAGCTGAATCGCAAATAAATTTCGGTCGCTGATTTCTTCCGCCTGGTGAGGTATTATTATTATTATCTTTTATTTTAAATTGGCAATTTTCCTGGCCTCACCAAGGTTTCCAGGGCCCTTTTGGCGCGGTCCTCGGGTCCCTCTCTCTGGAGGGGACTCTGCCAAAAAGCAGCTCAATATCATTTGGCTTATACCACGAAGGGACTCCTGCTTGAGGGTCCAGACCAAATTATAGCCTAAATTTCAAGCAGGCACCTTGGTCCAGGATCTGGGGCCAGGCTACTAGGAGGAACGGCTTGGGAAAGAGGCACCTCTCTTAATTTGGACTCTTCTTTCTGACAAAACTACAAATTCTCCCACAGCCAATTTCCTCCCAGTTTCTGACCCGGGGTCGCGGTACAAAAGAGTGCCAGGGAAGCCCAGCCAAGGGACTTCCAGGAAGAAGGAGCCACCGACGTGAAGGGGGAAGACGTCAGAAGGGTAAGCTAAAGCAACCGCGTTGCTCCCCAAGAATTGCCAGGTAGAGGAGTTCTAGATTCGTCTGTCCAGCTTCAGAGTCGGCCCACTGGGAAGGGGAATTCTGGGACTCGGTAACAAATCCTGGTTGAGGGGGGTGGTCATCTGGCGTTTGAGGTCCGGACCTTGCAATCCTGCATTATTCCTGCATTGCATCCGATTACAGCTGAATCGCAAATAAACTTCGGTCGCTGATTTCTTCCGCCTGGTGAGGTATTATTATTATTATCTTTTATTTTAAATTGGCAATTTTCCTGGCCTCACCAAGGTTTCCAGGGCCCTTTTGGCGRGGTCCTCGGGTCCCTCTCTCTGGAGGGGACTCTGCCAAAAAGCAGCTCGATATCACAAACACAATTAAAATGCTATTTGGAGGGTTAGCAGTTCAAAGCAGTGAGTCGGGGTGAGCTCC